GAATACACAGCTACTATACATTATTACTATTTAAACAATATTATATAACAGTGGTTGCTTATGTTATACTGAATCAAAGAAATTACTGTCATAGAAATTAAAAGTGTCTCTAAACAGTTTTACATTCTACATTTTCAGTACGATTTATGTTGTATTATTGCCCCTATCAGCTGAGATAGTTATTATTGTCTTCATGCTACAACATCTAAGTGATGCTGTCTACTGCCTTTGTGGCAAATATTTCTCTCTATATTCTTTAGAGTCCAGTATTACTGACTAGATGGTACAATATTCATTGAAGGTACAATATGAATATCTATATTACGCAGCACTGAAATTTAAATTGATCTAACATTGCTCTCCTGATTAGTACTAACTGGTACTAATATCCACAAGGAGGGATAAGGTTACGGTATTATTGAACGTAAAAGGGGAGAGGCGTTGTGAGAGGTTGGAGAGCTTTATCTTCTCCGGTGTTGTTTTTCTGCCACACACACACAACCCCAAGGGTGTATATTTGTCTCCAGCCATTGTGTTCCATTTTAGATTTGCTGGTTATTGCAATTGAGATGACACTTGAGATTTCAGTCATGAATTATAAAGGAGAAAATTGACTCAGAGTACAAGAGGATTGCACTGTTGTTATGTACCATATCATTTTTAAACATGGCCCAAAGGGACATTACTAGATGGCCCTGAACCTGCCCCTGTTTATTACAGTATAATATTACTTCTACAGGGTGACCAATAAGTCATGATAACTACCCTATAATTTTTTAAAAAATTCATTTCTTTAAGACTTATTAGATATTGTAATCGTATTTCGGCTTTTTGGTCACCTTGATTCAACTGATCACTTGTCCTGGATCCAATTTATTCCTCACACTTGATACTGCTGCCAATCAAAGCCAGTCAAGACTTTTCAGTTTAATTCTTTTGTGTAAAAAGTGGAAGATTAACAAAGCGTTAAAAGGATAAGATTTGAAGATTTCATATTTTCTGCTGCACGAACCTTGAAAATGTCATCTAGAGTGTGTCATTAGTGCACTGTGAATAACCATTCACAATGAGTGCAGTCAGAAATCATGCATTGGACTGTTAGTTAAGAGGAACCCAGATTAAGTGATTTATTTTTATGCATTACAGAGTTAGGAGAGTGAATGATAAGTTACATGTCAGCTTGGCTTAAGTGGCAGCACTCTCGCCTCTGGGTTGGAAGGTTGTAGGTTCAAACTCCATGTCAGGACTTTGAGCTCATAGTCCAGGCTGACATCCCAGTACAGCGCTAAGGGAGCACCCATTGTTATTTCTCTTAAAATGAGACGTTTAACAAAAATCCCATCTGCTTGGTCCGTGGAAGTTAAAGATCCCTTAGCACAACTCAAAAAGAGAAGGGGGTTTCTCCCAGTGCCGAACAATTCCCCAGATAAAATTGATCATTCACTTAATGGTTGCCAGCAGAACATTGCTGTGCACAAAATCGGCTCCCACATTTCTCTGCAAATACAACAGTAAATCCTGGGAAGAGCTGTGAGATATTTTAACATTGTGATAAGGTGCTGTATCAAAGGAGGACTCTTTTTCATCTATGAGCCAACATTGTCATGTTCCCTTCTTTGTCTCAGAGCAATAATTGTGAATGGCTTTGAGTTTGGATGGGAGGAAGGGATCTGCTGACCGGTCGTATTTATTTCAGCAATGGGTTAAATACAATACAATGTACAATTATATAGTATCTTTTAGTGGGTGAAAACATCCCAAAGTGCTTGACACTGCTGGCTGGGCACTCAAGTTGCATGGAGGTGGGAGCCAAAACTATGTGGGAAGGAGAAAAATGACCGAATACATAGTCAAAGAGGTGAGGTGGGCTTTGAATGGGGGGAGGAAGGGAGCAAGTCACAGCGGCTCTAAGCTGGAGTTTCAAAGAGCGAGGAAAGAATCGTTGAAAGCTTGCCTGGCAATGGTAGGGCAGTTTAGCCTGGGGACATGAAGCGGGTCAGAGATTTCTGAGCAAAGAAAACACAGTACCTTGTGTTACAATTTTCACCCAGATATTTCTTAACCAATTGCTTACTAAGAAATCTATAATTATCAAATTTCTAAAACATTGAATGTTCTAAAGAAGGTAACCATTTTCTCAGAAGTATTTTAAAGTATTCAATATTCTATAAGCAACATGAGTTTTGTTTGAAAGACAATCAACAAAACAATCTAATGAAATGTACAAATATAAGATAGCATTTTCAGATATTTGTCAGATATCTGGAATGCAAATGAGGCCTTTGCCTAAATTAAAAGCTGAGAGAGTACTTCTGATCCAAGTTGTATGGAATCAGTAACAGGTTTAATTGGTATAAACTCCATGAAAAACACACACTAGCATTTATGAGTGTTACAGACAAATGGGTAGAGGCGATATAATAATATAATAATCCTTGCATTTTGACATAGTGTTTTTCACATCTTTCAGATGTCACAAAGAGCTTCACAGAATGTACTGTAAAGTGAATTGACTGTATCTTTGTGGGCAAGACGCGGCAGCCAATTGTGCACAGCAGTGTCCCACAAACAGTCGTGGATTGAAGTGACCAATTTATTATTGTTTTTATTCTTGAGGGATTATTATCAGGCGTGTGGAGTAAGGAAACTTACCCAGGGTTTCACCCTGCTGGGAATTGAACCCAGGTCTCTCGTTTGCGACACGAGTGCTTTAACCACTGAGCTATAGGATTCCATTCCACTCCCTGGGATGGGAAGAAAGCAAATGTGACCAGAAAAAGCTTATTTTAATAATAACTAACATTTATATAGTTAATTTCATCCAAAATAAGGTCAAACAGCACTCTACAAAATATAATTGATTAGAAATGAAATTGATTGTTGTTATGGAGGCAAATGCAGCAGATATTGTGCCGTGTTTCGCCCACAGTCAAATATACAGTCAATTCGCTTTGAGATGTCTGCAAGATGTGAAAAGCGATATATCAAATGCAAGGATTATTATTGTTATTGTTATAATCTATGCCAGCAAGATATCCACACAACGATGAGACGAGGATTTACTGAATTTACTGCTGAACTTGAATAAGGGTGGTATATAAGGAGAAGAGGGGGGAAAGAAACCTCTACGTTTATATGAAATAGTGAAGGCAGGTGGTTCAATTACATCCATGTGAATCAAAATGTAAGCAAACCTAAATTTACAACACAATCAAAGAACGGGAATGGAAATCAATAAATACGAAGCAGACTTATTGTACACTTAGTGGTTACAATAGGAATGTGATTCCTCCACCAATTCTCTTTTCTTTTCTCTTGAATGTGCTGGCTTACAGTGGGTTTATGCAGTGCTGGCCACCTTCCAGTACCTTAGCATTCACAGCAAGTGTCAGCAGACTGTTCCACCTTGAGGAGCAGCACACTCAAATCCAATCCTGTGCTCCAATACATGCTTTACAGCAGGCATCACTGGATAGCAGTCAGGAGCAAGAACCTAGCCCTCCCTCACCCAGGCTGCAGACACTCATTCTTCACCTACTTGGCTGAGATCTACTAAAAACACAGACGAGGTTTTAAAGCTGGAGTCTTTTCTTGTGAATTAGTTCTTTACTGAGAAATGTCTTTACCATCAGAGCCATCCGGAGGAAGAAATTCCACTTGGAGCTAGATTTACTCTATTGTTGTAGCATTTCATAGCATTGAAGGGCCAATCTGTAAGAATCTGTTCCTGAGATATTTTGCTACTGATGCATATATGGTGATGCCATTCAAATGCATTGAGGTATTAACAATACCTCTCTAATTTCAATAGTGTGATTTGAATGTTTTGGATAATTTGTATAGAAATATGCATTAAAACAGGGAAATGGAGACTGTGCTAACTCAATACCTATTCTGTATTTGCACTGATTACAGTCATCATTGGCTCCCTCCTTTTATAATGCCACCAAAAATAAAAAAGGAGCAGTTGTTTCTACATTCATCTACTATTCTCTAGCAGTGCCATATAGTTGAAGATTTAACTCCAATATTTTTGCTGTGCCTCGTGTAGACTGATTCTTTGTATTTCTAACAATCTTTGACACTGATTTATTTCGGTGAAAACTTTGGCAAATGCACTTTGAATAGATTCCCCAGCAAGCTGAGATCTAGGTTTGAAGCGAGTTATGAGTGATGAGCTGTGGGCCTGGCCTTCCATCTCTGCCATCCACAAGGGTACTGTTTAAAGTGAGTTGTATCCACTCTTAGCCCAGTTCCCAGTTGGATGATAGAGTAAGAAGCTGAGGCTTGAGAATTCGTACTTTCATGCATACCCTGTGGAATCAATTTACATCTCAGTACTGTTTCCAAATCCAAAATACTGATATGTGTGGCATTCCTGAACTTTACCCCACTGGTGAGGAAATGTTTTTCATTTCTTGAATTGTGGTTCACTCCCCCAGGGTCTCTCATCAAAAGAGTGCAAGGGAAGTTCAGATGAAGAAGGCCCTTTGACTCAGTTTATGACATATTTTCACAATAACCATCATCTTCCCATAACAGCAAAATGTTTGAGCTCCCCCAGCCCTGCACTCAGCTCAAACTGTGAGCTCAAAGTCCCAACACAGGGATGGACCCCACAACCTTCTAAATTCGCTCAGTGTTGATCATTCATAGCCTTTTTACTAACAACCAATTTTCAGGCATCTGATTTCACACTTTAGTGACAGCAGAGTACCCAAAGTTAGACCATTTGTAGGGGGTGTATGCTGATGAGGAATAGCTGCAAATTGGGCGTAAAGACAAATTACCAGCTGCTATTCTAATGGAGAAAGGCACAGGAGTTCACACTTGGTAATCACACTCCAGAAGGTGGATTTTACAATGGAAAACACCTCACTCAGCTACCAGTGCTGCATCACTAGTCAAGTCACATTACGCTGAGTATAAAGTTCCTCATGGGTCAAAGATCAAAAGTGCAACAATTTATTATTTACGAGCATGCCAGATGTTCAACTAACCTGTAGGCATACCCACAGCATGTAGTGTAGTGTGCTTCCCCACGCTCCACCCCTCGCCCACCTCTCCAAAGTACTTCACAAAACATTACTGCAGCAACATAGTCAATGAAAGAAATATTCAAATAATTCAAACGAATATGAAATAGGGTGACAAGCTATTAGAATGATACTGTCTCACTCCACCTTGCAGCTGGTGCTCCTACTATCCAACCTTGATTCCCTGACATCAGAAAAAAACCACTGTATTTTCTGTGTCTGCAAGGTCTGATTATGTCAGCCATGATGCAGACATAAGCAGACTGATGTATTTTGATGTCTACTAGTTATATTTTCTTCTATTCCTAGACTAGAGCTGTCAGGCAAGCTATTTTTTTTTAATTCAATTTTTTGGCGTAGAATATTCTTTGTTCCACCATCAAATCCTGTAGTTGAACATTCAAGCTGTAGGTGATATAACATTTGACACACAGCTGCTGACTCACTCCTTGCTGGGTTTGCATGATTTTGTTCTGCCCCCACCACTCCCACCCCCATCACCAACACCACACGTATTCATATGCACCCTTTTGGACACTGTGACACTATCTTGCTTAATTCACATCACTGCAGACTCTGGTATGTTATCAAAATCAAATGCTCACTGGTTTGGTCGCAGCAAAACCAGGTGTCTAACCTGTATGATTATGTGTGTTTCTTTCTGTGCCACAGTGTGTGCGTGTGTAGGGGGAGGGGGGGGTGGGGGATAAGACAGAACTCATTGCACTGAAATATAACACAGTGAAGAACTAATAGATGACAACAAGCAATGCACTTATCACCAGAAAGAATTCAGACAGGAGCTTTCCCTTTCGTCTTGTAAGGCGTGACTCTATTTATCAGACGGATTATCCCACCACAGTGGGTACTGGGGCACTCTGCCAGTGCCAAGTGCAATTTAGGTCCCTGCCTCGCAGGTGCCATTCAGTTTATTTGAAAAGATAAACACAAGCACGCTGTGAGCGAAAGGGTGGAAGCCCCTGCAGCATAAACTACATGTTGTGTTTTACTTATTTATTTTAATGAATCCCTTAAGATCGTTTAGAGAGAGCAAAAAAACAACCTACGAGCGTTTCTAAAGGCTACAACTTGCACCTGTTCTAACAGAATAACCCATCCTCAAGAAGGGAGAGGAGAAATAATTCATGTCTCCCACTCCTTCCCTTCCCTCCCTCCCTCAGGAATCGTAGTGGCAACAGAGGGCATTATATCGGATACTATTATCCTTGATGATTCCCATGAAAGATTCGTTCAGAAGCAAACTGGAAGCCTGTTGTGTTCAGCCCGTTATTGTGCATATCTGACCAAAGACGTGGTGGACACTGAAAAGAAGATTACTCTGTACTCACTCTGATTACCAGCATGCGTAATTGTTTTCCAATAACTCTCACATGGTCCTGAAAACGCTGTCTGTGTGGGAGCCAGTATCCCTTGTGCCCCCCTGGCTTCGACAGTCACTTGCCTCCTTCTTTTCTCACTGATGACACAGTAATACACGACAGAGGATGCAATCGAGGCGTCGAGCCAGTGATGACTTGTGTGGTCTCCAAATAAAGATGTAATCCCCCACCCACTTTCTTCTAAATAATGAACACGGAGAGATGGTGTGACAGCTGCTGTTGTCAATGGCTGGCACTCTCGGGCTGCCTGGATCACAGCTGCTGGGATAGCAGCGTTAATCCAGCTCCAGCGATCAGAGGGAATAGGATTCAGCCGATAACACAGCCCTTTAACTCTCTGCACACTGAGGAAATTCAACAGATTATATCTGAAACCAGGACACCAGCATTCCCCCGTGTCACTGTGTGCTTTAGGAAGTGATGCTGTAAAGACATATATAGACACACATGAGGCAGCATCTCTCCAGTTGGCCTACATATAGTGTAGTCATGCATTAACCCCTTGAGCACTTGAGTTTCCTTCATGCTTCTCAGATTGTTCTCAAGATTCACGCATGTTTTGTGTCCAACACCACGAGATCTGCAGAATGATTTTTTTAAAGTACATTTTGTATTTTTAATGTAATCAGGTATCAATTGTAGATACAAGTCTGACTGGCTGAAGCATAATCAGAATAGGGCATTTAGACAATACTCGTTCCTGAGCTGATGATATCCCGGGCTGGGTGAGGAGAAGAAGGTGATCCCTACCTAACTCGTTTACAATGAAACACCTCATGCAAATAATTTGAATCTTTTGCTATATATGTGTGGAGTTCTGTAGCTTAGTGGTTAGAGCACTCACTTTGCAAACAAGAGGACCTGGGTTCGATTCCTGCCAGAGCGAAATGTTGGGCAAGTTACCTTACTCCACATGCCTCTGTTTATCTAGCAGTAAGTAGGAACCTTGTTGTTAGCCGATTGGCGGATCGCTTTTCCGGGGGTAATAAACCATATAAAAAAAATTGACCGATGGTGGGCTGGAGAGGACTGGAAACTTGAAGCAGGCTAGTGCTCACTGAATGAAGGGAGAAGCTGAGACAGTAGGGTTCAAGGAAGTTTCAGAGGATGGGTGGGGTGGAGAGTGTGAAGAGATATAAAGGGGAGAACAAGGATCTTGAATTCGGGGCACAGGGGATGGGGAGCCAGTGAAGCTGAGCGAGGGTGGGGATGATAGGCTCAAGGAGACTGGTGAGGAGAGAGGACGCAGGCTGCAGACTTCTGGATAGTCTGCAGCTTGGGCAGGGAAGTCTGGCGAGCATTGCATTCGCGTAGTCAAGCCAATTTAATTGTCCTTAATAGAACACTGATGTTCGCGGAGATATTTAGCAGTGTTTCCAGCGCCATACAACATGCACGTTCCTTTCAAAGTGAATCACTTGCACCATCCTCACCAACTCAATGTCTCATCCTAGATCTTCACCGCAGCTTGTTTTGCTGAGAAGTGCCGCTTCACTGAATGAACGTGCTGCTAAAAATACCAATCAAACTGAAATGCAATAACCCAGGAGACAGGCAAGCTTCCCTTGAGCTGCCCTTCAAGTCATCATACATTTCCTTCCCCCAGGGTCTGATGTGTGGCAGAGCTGTTATCAAATTGAGCCTCTCACACTTTGCTGCAGTTTCAGTCAGTTACAGTGCTCGCTATGTTGAGTACGGCGCGGCAATGGGTATAAACACCCTGAATGTTCTTGAGAGATTGTAGTGGACCTCCAGGCATGGTCTACATGAATCTATGGGATTCGTAGAATGTCTAACAAAATCTCAGGGGGGAAAGGGGAACAAGCTTGGACTTGATTCACCTGGAGTCAGGATAAATGGGTAATGCATGTCAGTCAGCATTCAGGACTTAAACATACAAGTACTGTATTCTCATGTACTCTGCACTCTAGCGTTGTATCTAAAATGCCATCAAGTGCATTAATTACATAGAATTGCATCGACTGTACATTACCAAAAGAGGTCATTTGCCCAACTGGTCCATTGCAATGTTTATATTCCAGATGAGCACCATCCTTCCTTATCCCTTCTGCCATCTCTGAGTCAGCTTAATGGTTATAGCAGCAGCTTCAGCTTCAGGGCAAGAGATAAACCAGGTAAAGAAATAAAAGCATTTTACATGAATGAATATGTTCCTCACTCATTGTCATTCGAAGAATAAGAGAAGTCACCAACAGGGCAACATCATAGGGTCATTCCTCGTTTAAGATTTTTTTAATCTTATGATGACAATTGTATGATTGTTCCTTCCCCCGTCATTCTGGTCGAGCAGTGGGTGCGACACACATTTAAGATGTGTCTTAAATGTTTGCTAAGAGTGGAAAACTAACTAAGAGTGAGGTTGAGTTTTTTTTAAGCTGCAAAAATATGAAATGCCCGAGCAAAACCATTGGTTGATGCAAAATCCTTTCATTGCTTTAAAAATAATTAAGCAAATATTTGAAAAGAAAAGTATAAAAGAGCAGGGGATAGCACTGAAGGGATAGGTTTTAAATGGAAATGATGGGGCAAATTGCCTCCTTCTGTACTGTAAAAATCTATGATTCTATTTTGTACCATATGACTCACCTGGAAGAAGGGGTGAGACTTTGGGCAAGTTTCCTTACACCAGACACACACACATACATATGGTCGCGCACGCCTCTGTTTACTTAGCATTAAGTAGGAACTTGGTTGTTAGTCGCTTTCCGGGCGTAATAAAGCCTTCCCCTCAAAAATAATAATAATTTGGTCACTCAATCCACTACTGTTTGTGGGATACTGCCGACAAAATACACAGTCAATCCACTTTACAGTATATTCGGTGAAGCACTTTGAGACGTCTCAACGACGTGATAAGGCACTATATCAAATGCAAGGATTATTATTATTATCCCTATCCCTGCTAAATGACCTACTCTCTCTTATTGTTGAATGGAGCTTTTTATTCATTTCTGCTGAATTGTATGAAAAAATGCTTTGAAAGTGTCATGTACTGTAATAATAATGATCCTTACATTTTATATAGCGCCTTCTCGCGTCGTTCAGATATCTCAAGGCTCTTCACAGAATATAACTGTGAAGTGAAGTGACTGTGTGTTTTGTGGGCGAAGTCGGCAGCCAGTTGTATTTGCGGCTTTCTCAGAATTATTTTCCAGCCATCTCACATTCAATTTTATTTCATAGAAAATACAAAAGAGGTTGAACTGTACTTGCTCCACAACACAATTTTATAAAACCTAGTAGCTTTAACACTGTGAAGTGTCAGAGCATTATATAGTAATAATAATACTCCTTGCATTTGATATAGCGCCTTATCACATCTTCGAGACGTCTCAAAGCGCTTCAGAGAATAGACTGTAAAGTGAATTGACTGTGGGGCTAATGAGACAGCCAATTGGGCACAATAGTGTCCCACAAACATACAGTACTAATTACACACCAGTCAATACTATAAAGTATATAGTTTGGGACATGACATGTGCATACGACTGCCAGGATAGTGGAAAGTGAACTCATGGACCTTGGTCTTCTTTTATCTAGAAATTCTTATGTTCATCAGACGCCTGGCTGACCAAAATAAAACACTATGAGACAAT